CTGTCCTTAAAAAGTAGCACAAAATTCTTGGGATTTTCTAAATAGACCATTATGTCATCTGCATATAGGGATATTTTATTTCTTCCCTTCCAAACTGTATGCCTTTTATTTCCTTTTCTTACCTTATTTCAATGCCTATGACTTCCGGTACTATGCTGAGTATGGATGGTTAGAACTGACTTCTTTGTCATGTTCCTAGTCTTAGAGGGAAAACATTCATCACTTCAATTAAATAGGAAGTTAGCTATAAGTTTTACATGAATGGGTAGGTATTGAATTTTGTCCAATGCTTGTTCTGCTTCAATTGATATAATCATCTAATTTTATTCTTTAATTTTTAAATATAGATTATTCTGACAGGTTTTCAAACATTAAGCCAATTTACATCCTTTAAACAAACCCCATGTGGTCATGGTGTATTTTTTTAAATATATTGGTGAATTCTATTAACATTCTGTTAAGCTTATCTCATGTATATGCATGAAGGATATTGGTCTTCAGTTTTCTTTTTTTTTTTTTGTACTGTCTTTGTCTGTTTTGGGTATGGATAACTACCTTAAAAGATGAGTTGTGAATTGTTGCCTTCTCTTGTATTTTCTGAAAGAGATTGTGTAGAAACAGTGTTAAATCTTCTTTAAGTGCTTAGTAGAATTCCCCAAACCATCTGGAGATTTCTTTTTCAAAAGTTTTAAAATGATGAGTTTAATTTCCTTAATAGTTATAGGGCTGTTTAAATGATCTATTTCATACTGGGTGATTGTGATAGTTTGTACTTTTCAAGAAACTGGTCCATTTCATCTAAATTATTAGATTTATGCATGTACAGCTGTTTGTAGCATTTTTTATTACCATTTGAATGTCTACTGGGTCTACAATGATAACCTCATTTCATTTCTGATATAGGTGTAATTTATATTATATTTTTTCTATTTCCCTTGTCAGATATCCTGTCAAGTGGATATGAAAGTCCTGGCTTTCCGCTAAGCCTCCTCTGACTGTTCAGCAGGGAAGGAGAGGTGCTTTATCACAATTCTGTAAGAGTGAACTCCCCACTTGGTCTTTACTGACAGCTGTTGAACTGTGTGTGTGTGTGTGTGTGAGTGAGTGTGTGTTTTCCTATGATGAATTGGTTGGAGTAGAGTGGTCTTTTGGCTAGAATAAGTAGGCTTTCTTTGGGGGGTGGTATTGTTTGGTCTGCATTCGAGTTTCTACGTGAAGATGTTTCTCAGGACTTGGTCCAGGTTTTATGAGGCAAAAGAAACTCAGCAAACTGTTTGCTGTGTCGTCTCTCAGATCTTGTGGTTCCTATTTAGTGCAACATTTCCCTTTTTTTTGGTGATACTGGGGACTCATCCTAGGATATCATGCTTACTAGGCAAGTACTCTACCACTTAGCTACATCTTGTGTCTTCTTTTAAACTTTCATTTTGAGACAGAGTCTAGCTAATTTGCCCAGACTGGACTTGAATTTGCCTTCCTTCTGCCTCAGCCTTCCATCTCATCCTCTTAAGTAGCTGGAATTACACGTTTGTGTTATCACATCTGGCTCTTATCCTTTCAGAGTCTTCTTATGTTTGCGTTATATTTACTGCCCAGGGATTTACTTAGCAAGATAAATAAGAAATCTATTTAACCAATTTTGTCCCATTAACTCAAATGTGAAACACCCATAAAACTATATTTTCTGTTTATATGATAATAATATAATATAAATTAGTATAATAAAATATTTTATATATTAATATATTAATTATATAATATATGACAACATACTAATTATGTATAATATATACATGTAAATAAATATATAATCAAATACATTAATAAATATATATATTATATTATACATAATCATACTATATTAATTGTAATGTTTTATTATATATCATATGTAATACATAATAATATAATACAAATAGATTATGATTTCTAATCTATTATAATACACCTGTGTACATTTCTTTAAAATATTCACAGAATTAAAAACTTGGGGCCTAATGGGTTAATCTTTTCTGGAACTGGAAGTACCACCTTAGATTTTGAAAGATATTTGTTGGGTATAGAATTCTAGATTGACAGTATTTTCACTACTTTAAAGATGTTATTCTACTATCATTTATCTATCTATCTATCTATTTATTTTGCAATATTGGGGATTGAATCGAGAAGTATTCTACTGCTGCCTATATCTCTAGCCTTTTGTATTTTTTAAGACAATTTTTCTAACTTGCCCAGGCTAGTCTCAAACTTGCCATCCTCCTGCCTCAGCCCTCCTGTATCACTGGGATTACAGGCACATGCCACGATACCCAGCTCTATTGTTTCCTTATTTAAATTGGTTCCATTAAGAAATCTTTTCTTGGCTAATCCAGGTCTGGGAATAAATATATAAAAACATGGGACAATCTTATCTTTCTAGAAAGCAAAAATGCTATCAAACACTATTAGGGTCTGGTTTAAAAACAAAATAAAAACAAAAACAAAAACAAAAAAAACCAAACAGTATCCAATGTGAAAATGTGAAGGAAATGTGGCTTCCCCTGGCCAAAGAAGGAACAGTTTAAGCATCAACAAGAACAATTATTGTAAAGGATTAAAAAATTATGTTGAAAAAAGAAAACTTTTCTTGCAGTTAACTTTATTTTACTCTATGTGATAATTAACACCTTATTTTTCTCATTGAAAGTAGAAATATAACCTTTCTGTTGTTTTTTTAAAGAAAGAAAAACAATATATATTGCTTATGCTTCTTGGGTTACAGCATTATAAAAGTATAATTTTTGTATTTTTCTGGTTCCTTTTAAGATTTTCTCCTTAACATAAGGTTATTATTATTATTTTTTATGATGTGCCTTTGTGCAGTTTCCTTTATTTTCTATGCCTGGCATTTGCTGAGTTTCTTGGATCTGTGGTTTAAGTTTTTATCAGAATTGGATAAATTTTGGCCATTATTCAAATATTGTTCTAGTCCTCTGCACCTCTCTTTTAGAAACTCTAATTATGTGTGTATTATTAGACTCTTAAAGTGGTCCCAGAACTCACTGATGCACTATTTAATTTTAAAGTAAGTATTCTTTTCTTTCTGTGTTTCATTTTGAATAATTTCTATTATGTCTTTAAGTTCACTAGCTTTTTCTTTTGCAATGTCTTATCTGCCATTAACCCTATCATTATTTTCCATTCCAGAAGCTGTAGTTTTCACCTCTAAAAGTATGTCATGCAGTGTCTTGGAAGCTATTTTCATATAAATCACGTTTTGGTTATCTTAGGCAAGAGGGTAAATCTTATCCCTGTTATTCTGTCTAGGGTGGAACAGTATGGGTGGAAATGTGGAGGAAGTGATAGTATGTTATTTTTGATACCAGGACATAAAAGGTATCCTAGCTTCCTCTTTACTATACCTCTCCCCTCCCCCGCTTCTTCCCCCACTGTGATGCTGGAGATTGAAACCCAGGGCCTTGTGCATGTGAGTCAAGCATTCTATCAACTAAGCTATATTCCCAGTCCTATCCCTTTGTTGAATCAGTTGCTATAGGAGAAGCCAGCTGCCACAGAATGAAGACATTCAAATAGTTCTATGGAAAGATCCAACTGGTAAGGAAATAGGAACTTCTGCCAATAGCCATATTAATATTCCATCTTGGACCTGGATCCCCCAGCCTCAGCCAAGCCTCTGTATGACTAAAACCCAGGCTGACACCTTGATTACAACCAAGGAACTCCTAGCCTGAACCACCTTTTAGCTGCTTATGAATGCTTAACTCACAATAACCATGAGCTAATGTTTATTGCTTTAAGCCATTGTTTTGGTATAATTTGTTTCATAGAAATACACAACTAATAGAGGAACCAAATTTTATTCAAGTTGTAAAAAACATTGGTTGAATCCCTTAATTAATTTTATTCATTCCCCATCCCCAACTTAGCCTAAATAACAATGCACAGACAAAATCACTAGACTTGGCACTTGGAGCATTTATACTCAAAACGTTCCCTATGTGATTCATTTCGAAAAGCCCTAGCTTCTATGAGCCTAAGACACACCGAAGAAATAAGGATATGTTATATTTTTTAATACTGTAACCCAAGAAGCACAAAGCAATGTATATTGTTTTCCTTTCTTTAAAAAACCAATAGAAACATTATCTTTCTACTTTCAATAAGAGAAATAAGGCATTAATTAAAATGAGTTGATTCTAATCAGATATTAAACTAATAATGTAGCAACAGATTTATGAAATTCTTCCCTTAGGAATCTTGAAGAATAGAATTTATGTCCATTTGATAAATATATTAGCAGCAAGGCTACTTCAAGAAAGAAGATGCATAGAACCTCTAGATCTTAGAACCTCTTTCTCACCCCAGTGATTCTGAACTTTTTATGTAAGGAAAAAAAGGAAAAGTTGAATTTTGTTTAAGAATAGATAGTTGCTTGTGGGGGTGCTTTGTAAAACATTATCCATGGGTCAGCCAATGCTTTTTAAAACTCTATTGGGAGTTTTATCCAAAGAGAATTAAGAGTTTTGCCTGAGTAGAACATAAAGAAAGTATTTTTATGTTTTTGCACAGTTAGGGTTTTCTGAAAAATAAAGCTGGCCGCTGGGGTAAAGGACAAGTCTGTGAAGTTAAAGGGTGATTGAATAGACCCTTTAGCCTCAGAGACCTCTGAAGAGATTTAGAGACTTATTTCCTTATACATTCAGATTTCAAAGTGGGTGAAAGAAGTCAGTTGTTTATATTCAAAGTACAGTAAATGTCAAGGTTTTTCTCCTTCTCTCAAGAGTGGAGTGGGGCAATGTGTAGCCTAGTTCAACCTTAAATGTTAATAATTTGGAGAATTCTATGCAGGAGAAGCCCCCCATGTAGGCAAGATAAGAGACTAATAGTGCCACTGGAGGCTACTGGATAAGGGAAAAAGTGTGGCTTTTACTATTAAAAACTATGATCTCTGTTTCAAAAACCTCATATTTACTTTCAGGATAAAATAAATAAATACTCACCACAAAAGGAAGGATGCACTCATGTTGATTTTGTACCATGTATAAACTAAAGAGAGACATTCGACTGGGGCCCATCAAGCTGCAAGCTAAAGAAAAAAAGTTCTGCAGAGCCTCACAGAGGTTGGAGCAGATGTCAGCCCAGGTTGGTAAAGCAATGTGCACAATGAGAAGTCGAGGAGGTTGTTGGTTAGTCTGTGTGGCAGTAGAGGGCCCTTTACCAATAGCTCGCCCATGATGCATGGCAGCCAAACCAGGGGTAGAAGTGTAGCCACTATCTGGATATTCTGTATACCTATAAGGAAGGAAAGAAAAAACAACTAGTTTTCATAATGTTGAATTGGGTGCTCTGTTAAAACAAAGAATACTAGCTGAGAGGACTAAGTTCAGAAGGAGTCAAATTGGGTACTAAAGCTTTTCTAGGCTATCCTGTATTAATAGTACCCAAGGGATCTAGATGTTTAACTAATGTAAGCATGAGATGCTTAGAGTTGTTGAGTGGTAACAATATAGAAGTTATATACAATCTAACTTTAGTTTCAGAAAAAGCTATTGGCACTCATAAACTTTTTTTTCTTTATTAGTAGTTATTATATTGTATAGTAATTGGTTTGTATGACTGTCTCTCCCTTTATAATTTTCCCAAGGAAAACTTTGTCATGTTGACTTCATTCATTAGTACTGTATGTGTTTAGTACATAGTAATACTTCAAAATAAAAGTATAACCATATTTATTTCTCTTTTGGGTTTCTCTTGGGTTGTTCCTAACTCCTATAAGGTAAAATTTAAATTATCTTCAAGACCCTTCATGACTTGATTATTGACCTCACTGGAAGCTGTTTTTCACCTCAAGGTTTTCATTGAAATAATATCAAATATAACTTTGCTTTTGGGCATTTGTTCATGTTATTTGCTCTGCTTCCAATAACCTTGCTTTCCTTTTTTACTAGCTATTTACCCTAATTTTCAGACCTCAGATGAGGAAACAAGAACAAATGACAACAAGGAACCAATACCAGGAATAAGAAGGGTTATCATTACAAATGTTCAAACATGAAAAGGGGTAAAGGAGGACAGAATGAATAGCTTTATGCCAATAAATATTATAAATGAACACATTCTTAGAAAAAGGTATTTAACCAACACCAAATAAAAATGAAATTTTAAAACCTAAATTGTCTATAACTATTAAATAAATTTAATTGATAATCAAATATTGTCCTACAAATTAAGCCAAAAGTCAGATGGTTTTATGGATGAGCTCCATCAAACTCCCAAAGACCAAGAATTTCAATTTTAAACAAATTCTTTTGAGAATAGAAGTGGGAACTTCTCAATTAATCTTAGGAGGTTAGCATAATCTTTTGATACTGAAACCAGATAAAGATATTATAAGAAAAAAAGTAAGATAATTTCACGCTAAGATGTAAGCATCCTAAACAACAACAACAAAAAAAGAAAATTAAACTAGCAATGTATAAAAATAACACATCATGACCAAGGTGAGTTTATCTCAAAAGCATATCAATCACCGTAATTCATCACATTAAAAGAATAAGTGAGGAAAATGATATGATTATCTCAATAAATGCAGAAAAAGTCTTTCTTGAAACATAATGTTCATGCAAGAAAAAGATTCAAAAAGATTCATTCATCATGGTATATTCACATTATGAAACAAATGAACTACAGTTACATGCAACAAAGCTGAGGACTCTAAAAAACATAATATTGAATAAAAAGAAGACAATAACTAGGAATAGATGACAGGAATAATCTAATACAATGTTTATAAAAACCTAGAGCAGACACCATTCTTTCTCTTTCTTTGGTACGAGGAGTAAACCCCAGGCTTCATATGTTATACCCCCAGTCACAAACTCATTCTTAACAGTGATAGGTTGACAGCTTTCCCTATAAGAAAAAGAACCTACTACCATCACTTCTATTCAACACTGTAGTGAAGGTGGCAATAAAACAAAACAAATAAATAAAAGGTACTACAATGAAAGAAAATTTCATTGTTTGCAGATGATATGATTGTGTACAGAAAATCTAAAAGAATCCATAATTTCCCAAATTTTCCTCATTCTTTTTAAAATTTTAGTCTTAGATATCTGTTATTTTTAAAATATTAATTTACATGACATCTTTAAAAATTCATTGTTAATTTTTGGCTAATGTATAGAATTATAATTCATTTTTACATATTGACTTTGCATTTAACAACATTGCTGCTCTCATTAATTTATCCATAGATCTTTTTGGATTTTTTTGTTCACAATCACATAGTGTGTGAAAAATGATATGCATCAGGTTACATTAACAAAGTCAGATATTGGCAACATAAAGATTATACTAGACTTATTCACAATTACTGCAAACTATAAGCAACACAAATGTCAATCTACATTATGATGGTTATATCATGGTATATTCACATTATGAAACAAATGAACTACAGTTATATGCAACAATGCTGAGGACTCTAAAAAACATAATATTGAATAAAAAGAAGACAAATAATTTGTACACATAGCATGAGTCTACCTACGTAAATTTTACAAATAATAAAAATTAATTAGCCTGCCTAGGGATCATACATAGTGGCAAAACCATAAATAAAAGCAAGGAAACTATTATCACAAAAACTAGGATGGTGATTCTCTCTAGAAAGGAAGGAGGACATTATGACTAGAAGGGACAAAGGGATGTTCAGGGTTTTTTTTTTTTTTAGTAATATTCTATTTCTTGATCTTTATTGTGACTAATTATTAAACTATATGTACATGTTCTATGACACTTTTTTCTATTCCTTGTTTATCAATAAACATACTTCAAAAAGAACATTAGGACAATCATAAAAGAAACATAAAAAAAAGGTAGATAAAAGATTAAAATCGTCCACTGCTCTGGGAACTAAAATGTGTGTGTGAGTGTGTGAGAGTGTGTGTGTGTGTGTATATATTTTAATTTAAAATTTATATATTTAAATTTTAGCTCAACAATGCAAGGAAAATTAAAGTTTCTTTAAGAGAAAGATTGTTATGATAATTTTCAGAAACATTTTGGTATTTAGATGATCTGAGAATGCACCAATGTGTCTGTTTCTTGAAATGAATCTGTGAAGTAGTTTTCTTCATATTTCTTTCTTAGGCTTATGGAAGTCAGCATTCATTCAACTTTTTTTGGTGTATGTGGTGGTGCTAGGGATTGAACCCAGGTCCTTGTAGTATGCTAGGCAAGCACTCTAACAACTGAGCTATATCCTTAGCCTCAACTTCTTCTTCTTTTTTTTTTTTTATTGAGTTCTAATTATGTTCTGGCTACAGTTGAAAAAAGTAAATGAATGAATATGCTAATCTGTTGAAAGTATTCTTGAACCAGAAATCCAAATCAATGTGTAATATATTTACTAAGAAAACATACGCTAAAACTTATAAGTATCTCTTCACTTTATTTTTAAATTAAGTGCATGAGACCAATTTCTACATAGAATGCTGAACTTGAGACTGACAGGTTCACACAAATATAAACACATACGTCTTATTTAACTGTCCATCTTCCTTCACATCTGAAAACACTGTCATTTTAGGTATAGTTAGTCCTCAGTTTAAATAATTCCAGTATACAGACTTCAGTTACCATAGTGTAGACAATTAACATTAGTCCTCTATCAACACAGTTCAAATTTCAGTTGCTAAGGAATATTAATTATGAGTAATTATATAAAGTAAAAGTTGCATCTAGCTCTTTAGTCTACAAATTATTATGTAAGTAAAAGATGCACATAATGATCAGTGATCAATTATGTTACTTCTTTTAAAATTTCTCGGTCAATGGTCACTGCATATTTGCTATTCAGTTTATGCACAGTGGGTAATGCGTTACTTCCTTGACTCCTTGTGACAAGCCCACATAACATTGTATAAAAATCAATAACTGAAAGTGGATATTGGCCAACAAATATAAAAGTGAAGCAAAGAAACAAAAGTGGCAATGTTTGAAAGTGAAATCCAAAAATAGAACATAAATGGAATTACAGAAAAAAATAGCTGAATGTGTGAATGTTGACACTGCCACCTTTTCATAGACTCTAGGTATGTAGTGAGAGGAACTTAATGAAAGTGAATTTATCAACATAAATGAGGAAAGTGGTTGTGAAGAATGAAAATGCCATGGGCAAGAAAAGAACTTCATTATTAAAGGAAGTCTCAGGGGTAATTTTACAAAATGGAAAGCACAAAGGATAAAATATTGGAACTGATCCAAACTTGGAGTATCACACTGCCAAGGCATAGAAAAGATATGTGCTCTATCCTAAGTTATATAATGAGAAGCAAGCAAGCAAAGCACTTTTCAAACTATTGAGAAGTTTTTTGTTTTGTTTAAAAAAATACTTTAGTTCTTAGTGTTTGTTTTACAGTATGCAAAAATATACTTAGCAATGAGAGGTTTCAGTGTTTTGACGTTGTTTTCGAGGGTTAAGGAACAAATGTGCTTTTCCCCATGATTAAGATCTCTTTGCGGTTGCAGCTTGCAGTCATGTTTAGATGCCACACTAATGTGCAATAGGAGGACTGTCTTTAAATGTGGTAAGGGTATCCTTAAACATGATCATATACTGCATCTGAGCAGGATCTGACTTTATTGCTGACTGTATACTTCTTACTTTTGCCAAGAACACCCTCGGAATGGTTTAACCTGGAACTGTGCCTGAACCAAAAGTCAAGTTACTCCACTACTAAAAACCCTTCAGTGATTTCCAGCTACACTTGGAACAAAATCCAAAATCCTTACCTTGGCCCTAGAGTTGTACTTGTGTCTTTTGCCCACTCTCCAGAACATCTCCAGCCCACCCCCAGGTGTCTTTCAGATCCACAAAGGCTTTCAGCTTCCACCTGCGGCTCACAGGCAGGAGCTCTCATGCCCTCCGCATTAAACGGCCTCTACCTTTTGTTTGTTTGTTTGTTTTTTGTAGCCCTTAGGATACTTTACACGGAATAAATGATTCAATGGTTCTTCCTCCCACAGGGTTCCATTAAAACTTTCATGGGGCTGGGGATGTAGCTCAGTTGTAGAGCGCTGATCTAGCATGCGCCGGGCCCTGTGTTCCATTCCAGCAAAAAATTTCTGGGCCTCAGTTAGGCACTTTTCTCTTCACGTTCCCCTTCCTCCATTAAAAAAAAAAATCGATTTTAGTGGACCCTAAAAACGTCAAGTCTTCCCCTATTATGAGAAAAAAAATCAAAACGTTTTCTTTGACTTTAAGGATTCATTGTTTTCTTCTGACCAAAGACATTAAAAATTTCTCAAGGCCCCACAGGCCTGCAGTTTCTGCCTAAGGGAGCCTCAGGCTTCAGCTCTGTCAGGACTGCGCTGCGAACACCTGCCAGAGGGCGGGTAGGCGCTGTCTTCCCTCCGCGAGGTTCTAGATTCCTTCTCCCGCCCAGAGGCGCAGATAAAGCCGGGCCCCATTACCTGGCCGTCGGGATCCCAAGCAAAGGCACTTGGCCTCGGGCGCCCCCTTCAGCCTGTAGCAGGGCGGGGTCGAGGCCTGGTCTGAAAGGGCGGAAGCTGTGAGGGGCGGAGCAGGACCTGGGCGGGGCGGAGCAGGACCTGGGCGGGGCGGAACCTGGGCGGGGCGGGGCCGGCTGGGGCAGCTTCACGTTTTCCTCAAAGCGCCTCAGCTCATGGTCTCCAGTCCTCAGGCCCACTGTGAGTAGTCCTGGTTTAGCCTTTAGGTAGAGTTTTGTATCTGTGTTGGAAATTATGTCCTAAACCTGAGCCTCCTTCTTCCTCCCATGGAACCTGCTAGTAGCATCGTTCACTCACTCAGTCATTATTTTATTCAATGAATATTTATGGCGAGCACATTGTACCAGATATTGTGCAAAGATTGGGGTACAATAAGTACATAAAAGCCCTCTCAATCCCCTTACGAAAGAGCTTAATCTACCCTCAGGCCGCTCTTTTTAGTCTTTTCGAACCACTCCTTTCCAAGAGGCTGCCCCTTTACTCGGATTCATTGTCACTTACTTGAAGTTAATTCCTACAGCCCCTTCAACACACTTCAGATGGGCTAGGATAGCACCCTGACCTTATTGGCTGTTTGGTCTGGGACTCGAACTCTGGTGGAATAAATATTCTCCTCTGAATTAGTCCACTGGAAAGAAAAAGAAATTCCAGTACCAAATCAGAAATGAACAGTTTCTCTCATTATTCTTCTCTGCCTCTGTTACCAGAGATGCAAGTGAGGTAGTGTTATGGTGTGAAATGATCAATATAATCAATAAGTCATAGATATAGGGTATATAGGTATAAGGCAAGATAGAATAGATAATCAATAAGCAATAGACATAGATTAAAGACTATAGGAATAAGGTAAGATAACATAGATAAGCGATAGTAAGACATAAGTTCATCAGGAATAAGCCTAAGTAATAATAGAAAAATCATGTAACTATAAAACATAGGATTTAAGCCATAGAATAAGTCAGTGTGTCAGTATAGTTATAAATAACTATAAGCAAGTGGGTTAATATATAGATAAGGTTAGATTAACATAGCAACTTGATCTTGTAGACTTGCATAGGTTAAAAGACATAGGGTTTATAGATATTAGTAAGATGACAGATAAAAATGTGTGTGTAGGCCACAAGATAACTGCAGTAAAAAGTAGGCATCAAATAAGTTACTAGTACTGACTGTGCAAAGCAATTGCTCTGGTAGAAACTCATTAGTCACTTGCAACAATTCCACTTTACTGAGATTATGGGACTAGGGTAACTGTAGTCATTTGAGTAAAAAGATGTGACTATAGAAACTCCATCTTAGTTTCTTTGTTACTGTCCCTGTGAAGAGAGAACTGCATGACCCATTTCTAGGAAACAGAAACTAAAGCTGTTTTCTTATTTAAAAATTTGTCTTTCTGTACTTTGTACCCCACAAATTGTACCCTACTCAGGATGGTCGTGGTGAGCTACATCTTGGGTTTGACTGCCCTAGTGGGTCTACATGACTTTGAAGTAGATTCTCGCCCCACCAACCCCTGCCCAAATTCAGGATATGACTGTCTAGCACCTGCTTGAACCCCAGGACTGTGGTCAACTGAACTGCAAAGCTAATGCTTTTTTAGCTTCTGTTTATTGCTTGCTTGCTGACTGGAAAATTCTAGTCCTGCCTAGAGCCCACAGATCCCTCTTATTAATGTTTTAATTTCTGTGATTGGCTAGTGTTCTTATATTCTCCTTAGATGGACCAGGAAGCTGCTGTCCTCCCACAAAGCTTGAGTCTCTATGGTGGGTGACAGTCCCTGGTAAATAAAGCTCTATTTGATTTGAAATTCAGACTTTTAGTGCTTTCTGGAGCAGCTCCCCATAACAGTAGCAATGCAGGTAAGGTGAAGCAATGTTTTAATGAGTGGCTCAGGAAAGGTTTCAATAGGAAAAGAGTCACCTGCCTGTGTTTTAGTTCCACTAGACCATTTTGCCTCTCTTACCAGCTCCTCAGAATAAAATCAGAAATATTTAATACAAGTATCCTTTTTAAAACCCTGCAGTCTGATATATAATAGAATCCCTGTGTTTTAATTTAAAGGGTAACTTATCTATAGCTCTTCTTACCCATGTATTCTAGATTAGTTTTCCTGTCTCCAATTTCCAGATTATCTTTTCCACTTGATGTCAGAATCATTCTTGTAAAAAGATTTTACTCATGTCACTTTTTGCTTAAAAAACATTTTTGTTTCCTTTTTGGTTACAAGGTCCATTATAAGTGAGCCTAGCTACTTTATCAGACTCAACCTTAACACCAGACTAACTTGAAAACATACCACCCATTGCTCTCAGCTCTACCACGCGGCCTGCACAGTGGTTTCATTAATGAGGTTCTAGGCATAAAGTTAGTTGATATATATATATATATATATATCAATTGTTCCCCATAGCCTTCAGTCTGCTTTTCCTAGGAACAGAGAAGAAAACTCAGGATTC